CATTTGAGATATTTCACTGAATCAAGCCTTGAGGGAAAAATATGATTAATTGTAAGTATTTAGCATTATACATGGCATTTGGTGTGAAAAACAGGGCTTTACCTATTATAATAGATTAAATTATGGATTCGGTCAAAATTTGAAATTTTTCTTTTGTAATGCAATACTGACACCTACTGGCCATTTTCAGAATATGGAATTGAGAAACAAAAAGTTGGAATTTGGAATGTGGAATGTTGGAATCCAAATAGCTGTCTATTAGATGAAAATGTGGTTTTTAAATAAGGAATCATGTAATCGCCATTCATTGGCTGTGTCCGAAATCACCCACTACTCACTGTATAGTGGACTATATAGTGAGTACGCCATTTTGTAGTGCTGTCCAAATGTATAGTGATAATTATTATACCCTATATAGTGCACTCAGTGTATCCCATAATGCATTTTGAAAAGTAATGTAAAACCGACTAACCAGGCCATATATACCATCATGCATTACGCTGATAGAAAAAATTGTCCGACTTAATTAACGGCGTGAAATAACGATCGGGGTAGTGTCTGAAAGTGGTAGTGGTAGTATTCAACTCCCTACATAGGGGGTAGGGAGTAGTGAATGAGTGGGGATTTCGGACACAGCCATTGTCTATGTGAATACCCTACTCCCTACCCCTAACCCTTTACATTGCTTAACCTCTTAACTTTGGCCAGTGTTTCAGGACGCTTCCTGTGGTCACAGTTGGCCAACCCGGGCATCCACGCGTCTGGCAGAAAAGGCCTCGGAAAAGGTGTTGCAAAGGCCACCATTACTTAACATTGCCTAACCTTTCAACTTTGGCCTCGGCTTCCTGTGGTCCCGGGGGCGCCGACCCAGGTATCCACGAGACCGGCCCCGCGCCCTCTATCGGGCCGTGCCGGCCCCGGGGACGTCGGACCTTGCCTCGCCAAACGGGCCTCAGAAAAGTTGTTCGGGAGGTCTCCGTCGACTTAACATGGGCTCGACCCCTGTGACCCCTGGCCCTGTGGACGTCCGCAGCTCCGCTGCCGAAAGGCGAAGAGAATCGGGGCGGGGTGTTCCTGAAAGCTCTCGACGAGCTACATCGCGTAAGTCTGAACCGATTCGGTAGCTCGCCCCACTGGCCCTTCACCCCCAAAATGTCACTGATGTGATGAGGGCTTTGACAGAAGTGTAACAACAGAACAGAAGTACAACATATACAGGTGATAACAAAACATGACTTCATTTTGATCAGGTGCTGAACAAGCTCAACTATGATCAAGACAACACTGTCAGTTAACAAGTATACAGTCTAGTGAGCCAGAGAATGTCATATTTAATTAACTGTTCTCTGCCATAATAAATTAATATACTTGTTCAATCCCATTGATCCCAAGCATTTTGTTCAGTGCTTGACACATACCATTGCTATACCAGTGTGACCATTGTAAAATATCATCAGTAGGGTCTGATAAACATCACAGTGACTAAAGAATCAACCTATCTTGAGATGTGGGCTCATTTTTCTTGTAAGTAAAAATACAAGGAAAGCGCAATTTCTACATGTGGAACACAGACACTTAATCAGTTGCTGTTTGATATCTCAAGTCTCTCTCGATCCTCACACACACTCTATCCAAACATTTTTGGTCCTACACCTGTGGTTACATAGTCCCTTTGCTAGATGAGTTTGCAACAGCTTTACAAGACCACAAGGATCGTGACTTGATGATCGTGGCTATTACCCCCTTACCCTATTCCTAACCCTTTTATCAAAAAGAGGATATAAATCAGGGCCTGAGAGCCATCAAGAAAAACAACTTTTACTACATGTTTGTTTGTTTTAAAAGCTTAATTTCAGGTTTACCTTTTAATGCTTAAAATTAATTTCATGAGTCATGGGGGTATTTTTACAGTTGATTTTGTTTAAAATGTCTTAGGGTTAGGGTTAAAAATAATTAGTCATACTTACCAGGAATTTTTTATTTTAAAGTTAATGTATTATTTATCACAATTTTGGGGGGGATTTTTTTTTGTATTTTTTACCTTTAATTTGTGTTAAATACAATTGTAAATAGTTAAAAGTGGTTGAGACGATAAAGCCAAAGGGGGTGGCGCCTTGTCTGTGTGGATGTGTGAGTTTGTAAGGAAGGGGGGAGAAGGAGAACACATTTCTCCTCCGACCCTCTTAAGAGGCAGCAGCCTCAGCTTACCTGTGTGAGACAAGGGAGTTTTTACGTGTGCATTGCCTTTTTTGGGGTGAGAAAAAGGGATGACCATGGACGGTTGGTCGGAGGTACACTACGGGAGACGCCATCTGCGTGCCGGTCAACCTGCTTGGGACCAGGGTTACCCCCTAACCCAGACTTATAGAGAACTGTAGTCCAACAAGTATGATTTAGGATCAACATCAAGCTGCACACTGCTGGTTTATTCCACCGCTAATCAAAACATGTAAAAAAATAACTTCTCCAAAATGCACACACTCTCTCTCACACACAACACTAAAGAAAAGGCAAAAACTTTAAACGTCAGGTCACATTTTCAGTCAGAGACGTCATCCTCCTTTGCATTATGTAAAGGACAGAGGGAAAACTGTTTACTGCGGCAGGAGGTCCCCTGTCTTAAAGTCCTCCTCTGTGAAGGGAAGAGCCTTTAAAATGCTGCTGCAGTCGCTGCCTCCACCACCCCTGCTGACTCTGCCCCTGCCACCTCAGGCTGGCTGGGACCCGCTTCGCCCTCTGCTGCGTTGTCCCCCTGTCCTTCATGGGAGCTGGGTGTAGGCTGTCAAAAAGACACACAAAGGACTTAGTGGGACACATGCTGTCTCCGGTTTGGAGCACAGCGGGGCTGTTGCCATGGTAGGCGTGGGGTTGGTTGCCCTGAGGGTGGCCAGCAACGTCAGGGTCTTTCTCCTCCTTACAGCCTCCATTTGTGCCTCCACCTCCTCTAAAGCCAGCTCAGGGTGGCTTTCCAGGAGGTACCTGTCCAGTCTCTGGGTGCTCTTGTACGAGCACCCAGAGACTGGACAGGCACAAAGCCTTACATTGACCCTCCTGGTCGCCAGATTTAAAAGGAGACGCCTCTCCTCTGGGTTGGCGACCCTGTGTGGCCCTTTCGTAGATGGCTGGACATGGCATTATACACTTTACAGCACCCTGGGCAGCAATTGCTCTTTTTAGGGAGCATCATGTCTACAGGAAAAAAAAAACAAAGAAACACAAGAAATACTGGTAATGAACTTGAATTAACACAATCACATTTTGATATAACACAGGAAATCAATTTAGTTTAAGTCCATTTAAAGTGTGAATTTAAGAAGATGTGTGAAATCGAGGAAAAAAAGGAAAGAAACAGCCAGGGAGCCTGTTGCGCTGACAGGCAGCCCTGCCCTCTCCTCCCTCCCTACCCCCCTCCCTCTCAGATTTAAAAATGATGATTATTATTAGTATAGCCACCTGTACAAACACTACTAGCGGTTTTATTATAAATTGTGTGCTGCATTTATGTTAAAGCCCTGTTGAGAATAACAATTTTAAAAAAACTTAACGGTTAAGATTTGTCACACTGAAATCGAGGGGGAAAAGGAAAGAAAAACGTCGTCAGATCTCAGAGGGATACATTAACATTGTAACACTTTGCATTTATTGAAATTAAATCACCCTTAAAAATTAAGCATGTTTAAAAATCAGTAAAGGCGGAACGTGGCTCTGAAAGCCAGCTGAGCGAGCGCCGGTGCGCTGACAGGTGCGCTCTCCCTCCCTCCCTTCGTCCCCCTCAGACTAAAAATGGGGATTATTATTAGTATAGCCACCTGTACAAACACTACTAGCGGTTTTATTATAAATTGTGTGCTGCATTTATGTTAAAGCCCTGTTGAGAATAACAATTTTAAAAAAACTTAACGGTTAAGATTTGTCACACTGAAATCGAGGGGGAAAAGGAAAGAAAAACTTCGTCAGATCTCAGAGGGATACATTAACATTGTAACACTTTGCATTTATTGAAATTAAATCACCCTTAAAAATTAAGCATGTTTAAAAATCAGTAAAGGCGGAACGTGGCTCTGAAAGCCAGCTGAGCGAGCGCCGGTGCGCTGACAGGTGCGCTCTCCCTCCCTCCCTTCGTCCCCCTCAGACTTAAAAATGGGGATTATTATTAGTATTACCGCCTGTAAAACACTACATTAGACAGCCGTTTTATTCTAAATTGTGTGCTGCGTTTAAATTAAATGCAGTTCAGAATTTTCACAACACCGTCACTCATTGTCATGATGTCAATTATACCTTTAAAACTTGAGCGCACATTTTTCTAAAGACATAATAATTAACACACAGCTAGCATTCGAGAGAAAGTGATAAAAAGAGATAAAACCTTAGTTTCCGATGTGCTACCAGCCTTTTTTGAAGTTCTCCAACAGTTCTCAAACTACAGCTCTAACTGTCCAGGTCCCTCTGTGATAAACTCTACCCAGCTGCTTCAAGGTGAAAAGTTGAAGGATGATTGACAGGGTCATTAGTGCTTTGATCTGATTGGCTGGATGCTGATGACGCATCGAAATCATGAGCTGAGGCTGATGAAGCCCCCCTTTATTCAGTGACTCTCTCTCACCTCAGCTTGACCCCTGGTCTCATGTATTCAGGCACCCTGTGTCAGTGTCTATGCTGTCTGTGTCTCTGTGTCTAATAAAGTAAAAATATTTATTTAATAAATAGAGTCTGTAAGTGGAGATGGGAGATGTTGGATGCTGTGGCTTTGTGGAGTCTGATACCTTTGATTCTAAGCTCTTTGAGTCTGAGGCTGAAACTGCTCCTCAGCTGCCTCAGCTCAGCATAGAGAACCTGTGTGCAAAGGCATTCACCATTCAAGTTTAAAATCTGTACATACTTTTTCAATTCAGTGTTCAATCTGTGTGGATGGACTAAAGAGGCCATTTTTTGTCTGAACTGCTGGGTGAATGTTTGTGCCTGAAACTGCATTTACCATCAAAACTACAGGAAAAATACAAGAAGATTAGTAGATTTGTTTTTCAAATTTATTTGAACAAAACTGAAAAAACAGATCTTCACCTACACCAAACTATATAAATAAAAAAACATCAGTCTCCTTCCATGGGGTCATACTCATCGTCTGCAAAATACTGGAGAAAAAAAAATATATAATGAATGCACATAAATATGTGAATTTAAATGATTTTTAGTATAGACTATACATTACGTTCTCATCATCCTCAACTAATTCAGGATGAGGTGGAGGAGGAGGAGGAGGAGGAGGAGGAGGAGGAGGAGGAGGAGGACGAGGCACAGGCTGGTGGTGTTCCTCATCTGAGGTCACCCTGAAGTCACTTTCCTGCAAAATGGCACAACCCAACAGTTGTTAAATATGACTAAATAATCAGAATTCACAGATATACAATAAACAATATACTTAGATGCCAAAATTCCAGCCAGTTAAATAGCATTCAGTGTCCTGTTTGACGTAATTCCACACCAGTATTTCAATTCACACTATTCATTGAAACATCAGTGTGGGATTATTTAAACAACAATGCTGAAAGCTATATAAGTAGTTTGAATGACAAAACTGTCTTCAGTCATGGTGTTAACAATTTTAATAATGTAATATTTTGCAATATATGAAATCCTGGCATGGTTGCTGTGCTGACACTGTAAAGGAAAAGTGTAAAAGCTACTTTCACCTCAAAAAAGTCATTAAATTAAAGAACTCCCAGTGCATGATGGGACATGGACATGCATCATTTATAGACAAGAATACACAACTTACTGTCCGCGACAGCCATACGGTCGATGCCTGTGGGAAATAAAATATCCAATGGCATGTGAATAATTTATGCATGGTGTAAACATACAGATTTACAAAAATGTATTTAATGTATAATTACTGGACTGAAGTCGCTGCCTTCTTCCACTCCACTTGAGTCAGCCATTATCTGAAAAAGACACTCTGCTAAAGACAACTTGCAGAAAGGAAAGTCAGTACATAACATAGTATGCCGTTACAAGCTGCAATTCATAGATTCAAATCTTTTTTGCAATAGCAATTTCCAAACAGTTTTACAAGAATTTTTGAATTAATGGGGCTTTTACTGTCTAATGTGTGTGATGCCAAGCCCGTTTCTTGCATTTGTAAGTTCCCCTAGATTTGAATGAAACTTTCAGGGAATGTATTATGCACACTTACCAAGTGAAGAAGTCAAGCGCTAAGAGAGAACTGAAGGTCTGCAGGTGATCACAGTGAAATGTTTCTGCTGGGTCGACTATAGAGATTAGCAGTAATTGTTGCTATCTTTTATGTTGTTTTCCTATTTATGTTGTAGGTTAGTATAAATACACATAGTACACATATATATATATATGCACTTATACTATATGTGTATAAGTTTATAGTGTGTGTGTATAGTACTGTATATGTAGATTTACATCTTGTATATTTATATATATGTGTAAAGTTTATAAAATGGGGGGATTTGGTAATTGTTCCTAGCCTAAGGCCCAGTCTGACAAATAGGAACAGTGACCCCCCCATTGTAGGTGTCGCCATTTGTCAGAAAATGCTCAGTTCCTTATTTTCTGACATTTGGCATCACTTACAATTGAAGGGTCTAAGTTCCCAATTGTCAATTCTTTCCCCTGCCATGAGAGCCTGCTGGGGGCATGAATGCCTGCTAGTGAGGGGATCATTTTCATGGAAGTCTTCCCATCCAGGAGAGACATCAGTCCGACTTGAAATTCAACCCCGAATCCAACGGTGCAAACCGTTTTTCTCTAGCGCCTTCCTGTCAAAAGTTATTTCCCAAAAACTCACTCGACTTTTGACACTTTGAAATTTGCTGTCATTTTCTGTCCACAATGCGGCATATATGGTGCAGGTGGGACAGCCTCTGACAGCTACTCTCCAATTGTCTCCAAAACACATCAGTCCGACTTGAAATTCAACCCCAAGTCCAACGGTGCAAACCGTTTTTCTCTAGCGCCTTCCTGTCAAAAGTTATTTCCCAAAAACTCACTCGACTTTTGACACTTTGAAATTTGCTGTCATTTTCTGTCCACAATGCGGCATATAATAATAATAATAATAATAATCCTTATTTGTAGAGCACTTTTCAAAAACAAGTTACAAAGTGCTTTAACAAGTGTAAAGAATAATACAAAAAAAAGATAAGAGCATGAAAATTTAATATAAAATTAGTAAAATACAATAAAATAAAAGGGATAAAATAAAGTCAAATAAGATCGGGAAAAGCTCTCCTATAAAAGTATGTTTTAAGAAGGGACTTAAAAGAGTTCACTGACTCAGCCGACCTGATTTCCTCGGGCAGGCTGTTCCAGAGCCTCGGGGCCCTGACAGCAAACGCTCTGTCCCCTTTAGTTTTCAGTCGAGACTCTGGAACAGACAACAGACCTCTGCCCGAGGATCTCAAGGTACGTGCTGGTGCGTATGGGACTAAAAGGTCAGAAATAGAACAAGGCGAGAGGCCATGAAGAGCTTTAAAAGTGATCAATAGAATTTTAAAGTCAATTCTAAAACATACTGGGAGCCAGTGTAATGAAGCTAAAGCTAAAATAGGAGTAATAGCTAAAATAGGAGTGCAGGTGGGACAGCCTCTGACAGCTACTCTCCAATTGTCTCCAAAACACATCAGTCCGACTTGAAATTCAACCCCGAGTCCAACGGTGCAAACCGTTTTTCTCTAGCACCTTCCTGTCAAAAGTTATTTCCCAAAAACTCACTCGACTTTTGATACTTAGAAATTTGCTGTCATTTTCTGTCCACAATGCGGCATATATGCTGCAGCCATGCCTCAAATCTTCCTCAAAACACTCGAGTCCCACTGGAAATTCCACCCCAAGTACAACACCGCAAACCATTTGGCTCCACCGCCTTCCTGTCAAAAGTTATTCATTAATTTCTAATTGTGGTTAATGCCCTCATTCCCAAATGCACTGAAGTGTTAAATGTACAATGTTGTTTTACATGTTACGTGGATGTGTAGATTTCTTTCTTCATCTTCACTCACAATTGCTACTTTTTCAGATTCTGAATACACCAATTACCATGCCAGACGAACTATTTGATGTGGGCATAGACAACATAGACAACGTGGATGCGTAGATTTCTTTTGCTGTCATTTCACCTCTGAGCGTCGTGGAGGCAAGCCGTTTTTTTTGTGCTGCTCCTCAGACTGACTTGATTTACGTCACTTTCCATCTTCACTCAGAATCACAATTTTTTCAGATTCTGAACACACCAATTATTATGGATGTGCCAGATGAACTATTTGATGTGGGCATAACACATCAAATGTGCTGGATTCAGTTGCAAAGTTCAGCAGTGTCAAAGAGTTCATGCATGCCGACTTGTTTGTGGGACTGCACTCTACAACAGTGTCCTATCCCCATAATTTTCTTGAATACATGTCGTCATAGAGTTTGACAAACTGCAAGGGCTGCTAGGTGGGCCACATCTTTCTACCACGCTTCAAGTCTACTTTATTGAAACCCCACTACCCTATCCTTAAAAAACACGAGGGCTTGAGCACATACGGTACACAAACATGCTGTGGGACACACACTTAGCTACGCAGATGGTTGGAACTACCTTCTCTTGACTTTTGTCCCGGCTGATAAAACAGCACCAGACACAAGGCTCTTCAAAAAAGAACTGAACAACATTGTGGCCACAGAGTTGCTGAATGATGTCACTGACAACTTCAGACAGTTACTTGCCAATCTGTCCCCAAAGGATATGAGCAGACCTACAATCCAAAAGCAGGCCTCTCATGACACGAGAAATTGCCATGTGTTGTTGCAATACCCTATTCATCCTAAACCTACTTGACCAGGCGATTGAGAAGACCAACAGCTGCTACTTCATAAAAGTGAAAGTGAAGTTTTTTCCCCTTTACCTAACCCCCTAACTCGGGAAGCAGAGCAGACGCCTATCCGGATGGAGGGCAAACTGTTCACTTAATTGGTTTCAATACTCGAGGCGTGTATCGCATTTGGGGATGTTGCTATTTGCATAAATTTTTTTACGGAATCAGGTCTGAAGTGAGAGTTATTCCAGCGATGTGATTATGATACCATGATGTTGCATACACAGTCAGCGTGATTATCTATGCTAATACCACAAGCTAACCCCAAGCTGTCTGGGTCTCCCACCCAGTTCCCAGTGATAGAAATTTATTTATTTTATTTTTATTTTTTTATTTTTTAACACACACACGCTTACTGTTTTATTTATTTATTTATTAAATTCTTTTAACACACACTTACTGTTTTGTTTACTTATTTATTTTTTTATATATTTTTAAACACACACACACTTACTGTTTTGTTTATTTATTTATTTTTTAAATATATTTTTAAAACACACGCTTACTGTTTTGTTTATTTATTTATTTTTTATATTTTTTAAACACACACACGCTTACTATTTTGTTTATTTATTTATTTTTATATTTTTTTAAACACACACATGCTTACTATTTTGTTTATTTATTTTTTTAATATATTTTTTTAAACACACACACATGGTAACTGTTTTGTTTATTTATTTTTTTATTTTTTTAAAAACACACATGCTTACTGTTTTGTTTATTCATTTTTTAAAAATTTTTTAAACACACACACACACACGCTTACTGTTTTATTTATTTATTTTATTTTAATTTTTAATATTTCACTTTTTTTAACACAAACACACACGCTTACTGTTTTGTTTATTTATTTATTTATTATATATTTTTTAAACACACACACACGCTTACTGTTTGGTTTATTCATTTATTTTTAATATTTTTAAACACACACACACGCTTACTGTTTTATTTATTTATTTTATTTTAATTTTTAATATTTCACTTTTTTTAACACAAACACACACGCTTACTGTTTTGTTTATTTATTTATTTATTATATATTTTTTAAACACACACACACGCTTACTGTTTGGTTTATTCATTTATTTTTAATATTTTTAAACACACACACACACTTACTGTTTTATTTATTTATTTTATTTTAATTTTTAATATTTCACATTTTTTTAACACAAACACGCTTACTGTTTTGTTTATTTATTTATTTATATTTTTTAAACACACGCTTACTGTTTTGTTTATTCATTTATTTTTAATATTTCTTAACACACACACACGCTTACTGTTTTATTTATTTATTTTATTTTAATTTTGAATATTTCTAATTTTTTTTAACACAAACACACATACGCTTTGATTACTTTACGCTTTAATTACTTGTTTAATGAAGTGTATGGGGTTGATTGTTCTTATGTTGTATGTATGATGCTTTGGCAATATTCTTGTGACACATTCATGCCAATAAAGCTAATTTGAATTTAATTTAATTGATAGAAGAGCATGTGGGCCTGCAGCGCTACATGGTGTGGTCAGACAAGATAGTAAAGGAGGGAGAAGAGCACATCGCTGCCCTGCTTACCAGGCCATACGTTAGCATCCACCTGAGGATTGGCATTGACTGGCAAAATGCCTGCAAAATGCTGAAGAGTGGTGACGCAGGGCCTCACTTTATGGCTTCTCCTCAGGCCTTTCCATCCAGTTGGTTCACTCATGGGCCGAAGCTTCACGGTCCTTGATTTGCTCTAGTGTGCCATCCAGTGGACAATAAATGTAAAACAGGCAGAGTGATTATAATGGCAACACGGCTTTGGTGTATGAAGCTTTGAATGGAATGAATTAATGAATGATGTTTGTAATGCCAATTCATGACTGATTAGCTTTTTAATAAGGTGTGTCTTTGTGATACGATGACAGGGTCAAAAGGAAAGTGGAAACAAGGGAGAGGGTTATGATAACTTGGTTTGGGACTTTAGTTAATAGAGACAACATTTTATTCATCTTTATCTCCCCAGCGGAGGCCACCGACCCCGGGGTCACACCATCTCAGTGTCAGCGAGGACAGTTGAAGTTGAAAGATTGCTGAATGAAAACTGCTTCCTAAAACCTGGAATGAAATGTAGTCATAACATATTTGTGTAGCTGTGCTCGTCTTTCTTATTCCATTTCTCGTATGTGTTGTAAATGCCACTTTATAAACAATGGCAACTGTTTGGTAGCATTATCTCAGGTGCAACAGAAGGTGGAGGCGGCCCCTGCAGACAGCCATTTTCGGTTCCCTAGTCCACAAATTGCAAGTAGAGAGAATTTTTGATCTTTGTAGGGAACATTTATTGAAGGTGGTGTGTTTGCTGTGTATTTTTTTTAGTTGTTTTGGGGTATATTTTCATGTTTCGTGTTAATATCTATATTTTATACTTAATTCATGGTAGGGTGACAGTTCAGATATGTTCAACTCGTGTGTGTTCAATTTAATAAATGTTAAATATGATTGAATTCAAATCTATTGCTTATTATTAATTGTGGCCTTATTGATAAAATGTCAAGCAGAATTTAGTTCAACCTGGATCATATGCAGCAGAATACACTTTTGGTCACTAGATGGAGCCAAATGACCTTAGAACATAACACTAGTTATTGTGTTTTCTTGCTAAAGAAAAGGACATCTACTCCACCACATCTGAGGGAAATGTTGTACCTTTTACTTTTATCCATATAAAAATATTTGTACACATTTTGTAAATCAAGTTTTACACGTAACATTTGGCATCAGGTTCAGCTGGAGGTAGGAAGACAGAAAGCTGTAGTTCCTGGTCCCAGTCACACAAAAGGAAACTTAACCTGCTTCCCCAGGCTGAGGGTCTGTTGAACTGTTGGGTCGGCACAGTGCCATCCTGGCTCTGGCTAAATCTACATCTGTCCACCGCAGAGGCTCCATCCACAACCTGGAGGAGGAACTAGGAGAAATGACTGTGTAACTAAATCTTTCAACCTTAAACAAAAATAATAACGTTATATTATCAAAAATATACGTGTAGGTTACACTTTATTTGGCTAATGTCTGCCCACAGATTCTTTATAGTAGTGTTATAATAGTATTTGTAACATTTCAACAGCAGTTAGTTGAGACTCAAAGACCCAACTGTTTTACCTAATAAACTGTTTTCTGATATTTCACCTCTGTGGTTAAGGGTTGATCAGGGCTAACGTTACTGCATTCATCGTCATTTCAGAGTTACAGCAGTTTCATTTTTGTGGGTTGTATTCCTTCGTAAAATCACTGTGCAAGAAAACATGGTGGTTAGTCTGTGATTTGTTAACGCTAACTCGTCAGTAATCATTAGTGGTGGAAGAAGTACTCTATTTTAATACTTAATTAAAAGTACAGGCACCACACGAAAAATGTCACTCAAGTAAAAGTCATCCAGTATAATACAATAGAAGTACCTGGTTTTAAAAGTACTTAAGTATCAAATGTAAACATACTACACATTCAAATTTGCAGATCTGATTAAAAGCAACCTATCTTTCTAAATACAGCCTCAAGAGGACAAGTGGATATTTCCCGTAGTGTGTGGAGGATTGCCCGGCGTCATAGCTCTGCTGTTGTGGTAGTACCCCCTTCAGTTTGGGACTGCATGTTAAGGATGAGACAACGAGGTAGACTCTGAAACTAACTGAAAACGCTTGTGATCAGGCAGAAATCTCACCACAAATCCACAGAGGTGTTATCTTCAGCACCACTGACAAAGGGCAGCTCACAGTCCCACACAGAGCAAGAATGGCTTCGGTTTCTATATTCCTAACCCTTCCATTGCAAAAATCTACCAGCTACGTCTCAGCTCGGTCACAAACTGGCTACGACTCACAGTGCGAAAGCAGGTCCGGTCTTCTGCACAGCCACACGTGACTCCACAATGCTCTCACTACAACCTTCCCCCTTTAACAAGCCTGAATAGAAACCTCTTCTAGTAAATGCAGTGCTGGTTTGAATGGACCTCTGTACACCAACTCAGTCCTCATAAAGTCTGTTAAGATTGGGGGGGGGGGGCAATCTGCCGGGTCATTTGGTGGAGCAGCCGCTGTTCCATTAGGGTCTGAGCTGCTTGTATCGGATGCTGGCTGTACTGTACATCTCTGGCTGTGCTCGTACTGGCCAACGATCCAGCCCCACGGCCTTTTCTTCTTTTCACCTTGCATTAGTCCAGACTTGTACTAATTTCCACATTTCCATCACAACTCAAGTTCTATTTTCTGAGCTGCAGTTTCTTAACATTTTACTATATGATAGTATTTATACTTTTAATTACTTACATGCAAATGCGATTTATGTTGCCTTTTAGGTTGTTGTTTACCATTTAAAATGTGTGCTACCATGGGAGTGACATAATTTGGCTGCTACTCATGAAGTCTGGGTGCATATTTTTTCCCCGAGTTTACAAGTAGGAAATCCGACTTCAGGTGGCATATCAGGATAGTTTTTCTAGTTGGGAGTTCCCAGTGGCCTTGAACGCAGCATATAGGCTAATGCTGAAATGACATCAGCACAAGATGCCTGAGAGTAATTGCCAGATAATTATCTAAAGTAACATTGTAACTAATTTCACTGTTAACATGGAAATGTACATTTTTACTATCTGATTTCATTTCACTCCTGAAAAGGCGCTGGGACATAAATTCAACTCATTCCTGGAAAGACCCAGCTGCAGAGAGATCTGACATGCGCACTGAGATGTGACCGCACTGATGAAATTAATAAATTAAATAAATTGTAATAGATCCTGATTCACATTACACGCTGTTACACACAACACGGTCATCATGGTGTTTCCAAAAGACAGACAGTTGACTTTATGAACAAAAACAATTATTTTAGCGTTGATCTTGACTGTCACGTGTTCCACTGTTGACACTAACCGTAATGTAGCCGAGAGGAGGCCCCGCCTACGTCACCTTTCGCCAAGTGGTCGCCGTAAAGGAGAGAAGAACTTTTGAAGCCGTGATTTCTGGGTTGGAGAACTGGTGAGTGCGTTTCCATGAGGCCCACTTTAATAAAAATGGATAAAAACAGGCGCACAGCTGTGGTTACAGTTAGCTCCCGCTAGTCTGCCGGCGGTCGCTTAGTAAGCCATTATAACATATGGATTGCATAGTACTTACTTCATGCTGCATGTATGGTGAGGAATTAACCTCAGTCCGCCGCACGTTTTGCATAACGTGCGCTTGTGCACATGTTTAATGTTTTGGAACCCTACGCTGGTGCGCGGTGTCCGGCGCGTGCTGGAGGGGAGCGGTGAAGTGCCAGGGAAGCCATCTTCCCAAATGTAAACACATGTAATCTCCCGATGTCAGCTTCCTAGGGATGTTTGCCAGTCTCTTATAATAATGCCAGACTATTCAGGGTTGACAATAACTTCTACTTTCGTGTCATTTAATAGGGGTTAGCGCAACAGTGGCCGCTGGTTTGTTTATAAAAACACAATTTATGTTGCCTTAGCGAAACGGCTTCATCAGATGTAGGACGGCTCGTGACCTCCCAATCTCAGTGAGCAGCATCGAGCTCTGGTTTAGAAAAGACGCAGAATAATAACTTTTGAAGCCGTGATTTCTGGGTTGGAGAACTGGTGAGTGCGTTTCCATGAGGCCCACTTTAATAAAAATGGATAAAAACAGGCGCACAGCTGTGGTTACAGTTAGCTCCCGCTAGTCTGCCGGCGGTCGCTTAGTAAGCCATTATAACATATGGATTGCATAGTACTTACTTCATGCTGCATGTATGGTGAGGAATTAACCTCAGTCCGCCGCACGTTTTGCATAACGTGCGCTTGTGCACGTGTTTAATGTTTTGGAACCCTACGCTGGTGCGCGGTGTCCGGCGCGTGCTGGAGGGGAGCGGTGAAGTGCCAGGGAAGACGATGAGGCCCACTATATCCAAATAAAGATTAATTTAAACTTTAACTTTAGTCTGGAAGTGGTCACGTATACTGTTACTTTGCTAAAACAAGTCATGAAAATATCTGCTTGAGTGAGAGTACAAAAGTATTTTCTGAAAAAAAGAAAAAAACACTTGAGTAGGGAGTAACATAAGAAATTACAAAACACACACACAGGGTCTTTTCTCATAGTTGTTTATTTGATGTGGATGTGACTGGAATTATTTCAGCCACTGGGCTTCCTCTGGTAAAGGTAAATAGGTGAACATAAACTCGTAGTTATTTGTAATGAAATGACAAGTCATCCGCTCCTGAACACCTGCCACATTTACACCAGGACAATATTCCTAAGCCTAAGTAAAGACTGATTTAAAAACATGTTCTTTCTTGTTGTCTCCTTTAATAAATTATGACTTAGCAAACAAATCAAATTAGGAGATGTCGCCGTTTCCTAATGTGTTACCTATTAAATACAGCTGTGTTCACTTTCACCTGTGGGAGATCATCTGTGCTTAAAACATGACATCAGTCACATCAGTTTGTCTCTGTGTGTGCATAATCTGGTCCCTCTACAACAGGCTAAACCACTGAGCGTGCAAAACAGACACTGCTCTCTGTCAGCTCAGCGTCAGCACGGTTTACTGATGGACTGACTTCGCAACCAGAGCCCGCTGCACTGCGCACTGAGTGACGGAATAGCTCCTTGCAGTCAATTGCAAGATGGCATTTAAAAAGTCCATATCCCTTGAATTTGTTACAGGTGTAATGCTGCATGCATCGTACTTGTTAAAAGTTCAGTCTTGTGTTTCAGCTGTTGACTTATTTCTCCACATGTTGGATGTTTGCTTTTCCATCACACACACAGAAAATGACACTGAAAGACTGCCCGGTGTGCCTGTTGGGTTATGCAAATGTTTCCGGGCACATGAAGGAAGTGCACGGTGTCACAGACCGGGAGGAGAGGAGGCTGATGCTGGGAATGGCATCAGGAAGGTCAGTAAAACTGTTTCCCCACACACAAACACACAGCTGATTACAGCTGATTACTGCTGAGTCTGCACCCATCCACCTAAACTCCATAATACAAGTTTATGTTCCTCCTCTTACTAGTAGATATTGTCAGTTGTAGTTCTCGTGCTGTATTTGATGCTTTGTTGATGCATGTATGATGTTCCTTAAATGTAAGTCGCTTTGGATAAAAATGAGTTAATGTAATGATTACTGTGCTTATGACGTTCCGATAATGTGTGACAATGTCTGTGTAGATATGGAGGCCCCCTGTGTTGCCCTGAAATGAGGTGCCGTGGGAGGGAGTTCACCAGGCTGGATTGTCACCTGAACACTGTTCACAAAATGGCGGTAGGCTTTAGCTCTTTTGTAAAAGCATATTGCTTTGCTGCCATTTCAGAGATCTGGTATACGCTGATTTGAGTGGTCTGTAATGTAAATTATTCAGATGCTGTGGCTCAGGAGGTAGAGCGGGTTTCCCTTTAATCGGAAGGCTCCTCCAGGCTGCATGTCGAAGTGTCCTTGGGCAAGATACTGAACCTCGAATTCCCCTTGGTGGCTGTTCCACCAGTGTGTGAATGTTAGTTTCTGTTTGAGCACTTAGGCTCAGTGTGTGAATGCGATGTAGTGTAAAAGTGGCTGAAAAGACTAGCAAGGCGCTATAGAAATAAGGAGCATTTACCTCAGTGTCTCACTTTATGTTCTGTGTTCACAGAAGGACAAAAGGACAGAGGTTTTGATGAAACAACGGAGGGCCGCCATTTTCTCAAGACTCAATCAAATAAAAAAGAAAAGAAAAGAAGTTGAAGTGATCCAGCAGTCCCTGATGTCCATTGGGCAGGGAGTGGACAACTTACATAGTGAGTTTGAATCTTTTCTGTCAGACTGTTGGCCAACCTATTATTGAATACTTTAAAAGAGAAGCTTCTCTCACCAGAGACGATCCGCTCCTCATTCAAGCAGTGGCACTAATATGCTGTTATTGTTGCCATTATTTTAGATTTTTTTGTGTGTATGTCTACCTGGCATAAAAGCTCATTCTCTTTATTACCATTACTGTCAGCTTTACAAGCTCAGTGTAAGCTTGTCCGTACTGACTGAGCAACAGGGTTCCAGCTTTGTAAGGGTAATGTCTCAGTAGCCATCCGGATCTGTGTCCTTGTGCACTGTGGTGAAAAGATACATATGTGTATACACATTTTCCAGGTTTTTCTGTGTCTTTCAGAAGCTGGGAAGAAAATAGGCTTCCATCGAAAAGGCCTGGCAACCGATGGTCTGGAGAAAGAGGAGGCAGGTCCTCCTCTGTGTGGTGAAGCTGCCTCAACAGCAGGTGGATCCTCACCACCACCGCCTCCACCACAGCCTCGTGTTCCCGGGTCACCACCGTCTGTTGGCTGTCCCTCACAGGACAGCGGCAGCTCAGTGGAGGCAGCAGAGCCTGGGACGTCTCCACTGGCACCAAACCTGAGTGAGGCCTGCAGCAGCTGGTTAGCTGAGGATTCATCTCAGGATGCCCTGGAAGTGGTGAGCACAGGTGCACAGCAGAATTCTAGCATCTCACAGTATGGGGGTCAACTTCTCTAAACCTCTCTTTCTTCCTTGCAGCTGTTCACCACTAACCTTGAGTGGGAGGTCGACAGCCTACCAGATTTCTCCTGGCTAGTGTAAGATTGTGTCCTCCTTGTATATATGTATATATTTGTTTATAATGTTTTACATTTTATTTGTATCTTTGTATATATATTTTAATAAATGGTTTGTTTGTATAAAATGTATTGCTTCCTTTTTTCGTGTTCTTTATGACACCAGCATTTCCAAGGAGCTTTCATGGGTTGGTTTCCTGATTTGGCTAAATTTCGCTCACTTTATTCCATCAGTGTCCTTAACATGACACTGTGTCAAGGGGCTTTAAAGGGCTGCAGAAGCCTGATGAATAAGAGCAGTGCTAAGTACATTTACTCAAGTACTGTACCTGGGTACACATTTGAAGCGCCTGTAATTTTCATGCCTATTTCTGCTTCACTACATGTTACAGAAGAAATTTGTACTGTTTACTCCACTACATTAATGTGGCAGCTTTAATGACCGAGCCCTTTACACATTAAGATTTTTTTAGGCACATGAAGGGTGTGTAAAACAAATTCCCAGGAAAGGTTAAAGCCAGTAGTAAAACACAGTTTTTTAAACATGTCTCAACATTTAAAATGACAAGATGTGCTGTGTACTCTTTATAAGGTTGGGACTGTTTGCAGGATGGGCGTTGGGTCGTTGTAGGCATTTCTCGCGATTTTCAGTTTCTCCAAACCAAATAGTTGAAATAAACCAAAGAGGACATTTGCAATACCACAAAATCAGTTGAACATCTCAAAATCTGTGAAAGTGTTCATAAGTAGCGCGTAAGTTCATAAAATAAGTGTTTTCAAGATAATATTAATGTGACCTTTGCTAAACATAATGAAATGTTTCCATGCTTTACAACATTCTTGTCAAAAGTATTCATAACATATAACAAGGCTTTACATCCTTTTCAAACCGTCTTCCTAATATGTGGCTTTGCTTAACATCCTTGCCAGAACGTCTTCACAACATGTGGGCAGGCTTTCTGAATTGGGAAGTGCCCCCAATTTTGATAGGCAGCTTGTGTCCCCAAATTAATGTCCCAGTAATTTAACAGTGTCAGTCTTGGAGGAGTCTTGATGCTGAGGAGACAAGGAGACGCAACACAGTAACTCCTTTTTTCTATATTCAAGAAAGCTTTTCTGGTGCTGATACAGAGACCTTCAGTACAGATTCCTTTAGCTGTACTATCTACAGCAGAAGGCGGCCTAGCAGACGGACCAGAATCTCTCGGAAGCTGCTGCTGTAGACTGAGGACCGTGAAAAAAAGTCCTCCACGGGCAGATTTTTGGCAAGGAACAGTCAAAAAATGTAAGTTCTCACATGCTGCTTTTAGAACAGACTGGCTGAACATCTCCATTTATGCAAAGAGACAACAATGCAATTTCCGCTCTGTTCTGACCTGTGTATTCTTGTTTCTCCTCAAGGGAATCTGCCACAGTGCAGAGGAACCCAGTCTGCTGCCTGATCTGCAAGACTCCCCAGGACCAGCTCCGGACCCACCTGGCCCGGGTCTGCATGAAGGACTGTACCCCAGAGGAGCGCATTGCCGAGCTACAGCGAGCCAAGGAGTCCCAGCTGCAGTGGGCAAGGAAAGGACGCATTTGGGATTACGCTGATTTATGTGACATAGTGCAGGACGATGCAACCCGCAGGACTCTGACAAAGACGTTCCTGCAACGCGGGTTTCTGGTCACCAACATGCCTCTGGCTGCTGCAATGGTGACCAGTGGCTCGGCTGAGGAACCGGACACCAGTTCTACAAGGCAGTCCCTCTCTTCTACGGGAATGTGCAGCCTGCTCAATAGTTTCAAGGTCACTGCTGACAACACCTGTTCCAGGCTCCAGCGGGGTGAGACTTTGGATGAGGGTAGGATGGCAGACCTGAGGAACTTCTGTATTACAGTCTTGGTGCTGGGGCTTCAGAAGACAACCCGGCAGGTTAGGGAGCTGACGGTGCAGGAGTGGTTTGGGCGAGCAAGGGTCAACCAGGGTGTTGTTGTGAAAATGACTGCCCGTGGAGCAGAGGACAGCTTCACCCTGACACTCCAACAAGAAGCCTGGTTCAGCTGTTACATGGCCAGCATCCGGTCAGTCTACCTGAAGAGCCAAGTAGCCGCAGGATCTGACCAGGACAGGTTTTTCTTGGGAAAGAACGGCACGCCCCTGACCCATGTCACCAAAGTGGTCGATCGTTTCTGCAAAAGGCACAGACCACTGGAGGGGAGCACCTCCACCATCGTGTCTGCAAAGCGCAAGGCCAGCATGACATGGGACAATTTTCTGGATGAGTTCCCTGTGACTTTGCATGGTGTTCCTCCCACTCAGGAGGAGTCAAAAATGAAGGGATATGAGGAGGGGCGCATCTTCTACCACAAGTGGAGGGACATGCAGAGGAAACTCAGGATCGATTACATCCTTATGGACTACCCACATCGAAAGCCTTCAGAAGCAAGGGTGAGGTACAAGATGCAAAGGGAAGGATGGACTTGCAATGCCCCCAAGGTGGAGGAAATTTTGGCAGTCTGGAAAAGTAAGGGGGGGTCTGTCCTCGCGGACCCAAACATCATGCAGGCAGTCCTGGACCAGAAGTGGAAGGGCCTGGCCATTACAGACCTGGGACCACCAAAGGGAAAAGGCGTGGTGGCAACGATGCCGTTCCAGGTTGGAGATGTAGTATGCGACTACCACGGGGAGCTGGTCACAGAGGCAGAGGGAAGGCAGAGGCAAAGTCAGGTACCAGATGGCACTGACATGTACTTCTTCTATTTTAAAAGCCACAATGGCACAAAGATGTGCCTGGACGCGCAGAAATTCCCCTGCTTCTGTCACCCCGACATTGACACTTTTGGCAGGAGGATAAACCACTCGGGCAAGAACTTTAATGTCAAGCCAGTTCGCTTTGCGTTGCCTTTTTCTGGAGGACTCAGGGATATCATGATCTTTGTTGCCACTAGAAACGTGACAGTAAAAGAGGAGCTCACGTGGGACTATGGTGTCAGACAGTCATCCTTTGGAGGAGAGGGCCGAAATCTGGAATGGCTGAACGAGTAGTAGATAGATCAGAAGCTTGTAAAATTTATTTGGGTTAAAGAGTTCATGCTGTATCATAGTTTGACAAAATAAAAACTAAAATGTTTATATCTGAAGACAAAAACATGTAAAAGAAAAAATAAAACTTTAAGTGAATGTTGGAAATTGGTCTTTTTGGAATGTTTGTTTTTGTTCACTGAATTTGTCCATCCAGAGCCCCCTGGATAAAACTGTTTCTAATAAAAAACTAAAATGTTTATATCTGAAGACAAAAACATGTAAAAGAAAAAATAAAACTTTAAGTGAATGTTGGAAGTTGGTCTTTTTGATTTAAAAAATAAGAATGTTTGTTTTTGTTCACTGTATTTGTCCATCCAGAGCCCCCTGGATAAAATTGTTTCTTTTTCAAACTACGCATGTATTCTGTGTGGGCTATTACAGGGGGATATTTTGTAAATGTATTCGGGCACCCTAGTAATAAGAGGACAAGGGATTCCGACCCACTCACAGATTATTAACAATGAGCTAGAGTTAAAGTAAAATTCAAGTGGACGTGATGCTACAAGATTATTCAGCACAGCACAATTTTACTTGCATCAACTGACAACAACTGTAAGATTTACATTTTCTTACTGCTCTCCCTGCATAAATGTAGTCAGATTTTTAGAAGAAAAAAAAATCTGTCTCAGAAGTGATGTGAAACTAATAAAGACAGACGCTAAAGCTCACTAATCACAGAGTCAAAGAGAAACAACAACAACCATTGAGACAGGATACAAAGGATTAACACTGTTCCTATAAAGCAGGGTAATAGTTAATGGTCAATGTTACAATCATTAAAAAGCACAAAGCCTCAAAGTAGTATTACACATGTATCAGTAGGGCAGACCAAATATGTGCATCACATACGGCATACATTCTTTTTTTAATGGTTATAAATCCCGTGTTGTAAATTGTTAATTGCTCAGGGTTAATTTTTCATAAAAAAAAAAACTACAAAGAGATCCACATGGACTGCGTTGACGCAGCACGGGGGCTTACAACACATTTCCATCTCAGGGTGTCAAAAACCTGATAAAGCGTCTATACTTGATGCATAAAGTACCCTTATGCTTATGTATCAAAACACACTGTATCAAGGTTTAACACAACAAAAAACTAAAATGTTTATATCTGAAGACAACAACCTGTAAAAGAAAGAATAAAACCTTAAGTGAATGTCTTTCTGAAGGTTTATTGTACTACAAGCACCCTGATGGGTTTTCCCTTTTAGCCTTAAGAATAAAAAAGAAGAGTGTATATATCTGTACATTCTTCTTTTTCCTTCATATATCCCATATATATATATATATATATATATATATATATATATAAAACCCTCCCCTGTTCTAGCACAGTGTTACCTAAACCCAGCTCTCATTATTTTTGAGCACTAATCCTCAAAAGCTAATGTTCTTTAGTTTGTGGGGTTGGCGCCCCCCTGCACCCGCCACCCCTCGCTCGATCGTCACTGACTCGAAATCCCTTAATCTACGGAGCCTGTTTAATATCTCAAGTCTTTCTCGATCCTCACACACTTTATCCAAACATTTTTGGTCCTGCATCTGTGGTTATATATTCTGACCTTCCTGTAAAACCACTTGACTTTCAGTGCTTGAACTGTCCTGTCCTAAACACTGATGCAAAAGTCCTTCCAAAGCCGGCTTCTCAAGATGGCCCACCACGGCCCTGTCCTGTCTTTGGTTACCTGTCTGTGGTTACCTGTTTGCACTTACCTATCTGTGGTTACCAGTCTGTGGTTACCAGTCTGTCTGTGGCTACCAGTCTGTGGTTACCTGTCTGCACTTACCTATCTGTGGTTACCAGTCTGTGGCTACCAGTCTGTGGTTACCAGTCTGTGGTTACCGGTCTGTCTGTGGCTACCAGTCTGTGGTTACCAGTCTGTCTGTGGGTACCAGTCTGTGGTTACCAGTCTGTCTGTGGCTACCAGTCTGTGGTTACCAGTCTGTGGTTACCAGTCTGTCTGTGGTTACCAGTCTGTCTGTGGTTACCAGTCTGTGGTTACCTGTCTGTCTGTGGTTACCAGTCTGTGGTTACCAGTCTTTCTGTGGTTACCAGTCTGTGGTTACCAGTCTGTGGTTACCGGTCTGCACTTACCTATCTGTGGTTACCAGTCTGTGGTTACCAGTCTGTGGTTACCAGTCTGTGGTTACCGGTCTGTCTGTGGCTACCAGTCTGTGGTTACCAGTCTGTCTGTGGGTACCAGTCTGTGGTTACCAGTCTGTCTGTGGCTACCAGTCTGTGGTTACCAGTCTGTCTCTGGTTACCAGTATGTCTGTGGTTACCAGTCTGTGGTTACCTGTCTGTCTGTGGTTACCAGTCTGTGGTTACCTGTCTGCACTTACCTATCTGTGGTTACCAGTCTGTGGTTACCAGTCTGTGGTTACCAGTCTGTGGTTACCGGTCTGTCTGTGGCTACCAGTCTGTGGTTACCAGTCTGTTTGTGGGTACCAGTCTGTGGTTACCAGTCTGTCTGTGGTTACCAGTCTGTGGTTACCAGTCTGTCTCTGGTTACCAGTATGTCTGTGGTTACCAGTCTGTGGTTACCTGTCTGTCTGTGGTTACCAGTCTGTGGTTACCAGTCTTTCTGTGGTTACCAGTCTGTGGTTACCAGTCTGTGGTTACCGGTCTGTCTGTGGTTACCAGTCTGTGGTTACCAGTCTGTGGTTACCGGTCTGTCTGTGGCTACCAGTCTGTGGTTACCTGTCTGCACTTACCTATCTGTGGTTACCAGTCTGTGGTTACCAGTCTGTGGTTACCAGTCTGTGGTTACCGGTCTGTCTGTGGCTACCAGTCTGTGGTTACCAGTCTGTCTGTGGGTACCAGTCTGTGGTTACCAGTCTGTCTGTGGCTACCAGTCTGTGGTTACCAGTCTGTGGTTACCAGTCTGTCTCTGGTTACCAGTATGTCTGTGGTTACCAGTCTGTGGTTACCTGTCTGTCTGTGGTTACCAGTCTGTGGTTACCAGTCTTTCTGTGGTTACCAGTCTGTGGTTACCAGTCTGTGGTTACCGGTCTGTCTGTGGTTACCAGTCTGTGGTTACCAGTCTGTCTCTGGTTACCAGTATGTCTGTGGTTACCAGTCTGTGGTTACCTGTCTGTCTGTGGCTACCAGTCTGTCTGTGGCTACCAGTCTGTGGTTACCAGTCTATGGTTACCAGTCTGTCTCTGGTTACCAGTATGTCTGTGGTTACCAGTCTGTGGTTACCTGTCTGTCTGTGGTTACCAGTCTGTGGTTACCAGTCTGTCTGTGGTTACCAGTCTGTGGTTACCTGTCTGTCTGTGGTTACCAGTCTGTGGTTACCTGTCCGTCTGTGGTTACCGGTCTGTGGTTACCTGTCTGTAGTTCCCTGTCTGTGTTTACCAGTCTGTCTGTGGCTGCCTGTTGGAGTTTGTTTTTTTTTTGTTTGTTTTTTTACTTTTTACAAATAACCATGTAATTGGCACTACAAATAAATTAAAACAATAAGCAGATACTGAAAGTATTTTATGTGTGGATGCACTAAAGAGGCCATATTTGTCTGACTGCTGGTAGAGGGTTTCTGCCTGAAACGTCATTCAAAATCAAAACTATTTACAGATTAAATTTACAGGCTTCTCAAGATGGCCCACCACGGCCCTGTCCTGTCTTTGGTTACCTGTCTGGGGTTACTTGTGTGCACTTACCTATCTGTGGTTACCAGTCTGTGGTTACCGGTCTGTCTGTGGTTACCGGTCTGTGGTTACCAGTCTGTGGTTACCTGTTTGCAGTTACCTGTCTGTGGTTACCAGTCTGTGGTTACCTGTTTGCAGTTACCTGTCTGTGGTTACCAGTCTGTGGTTAACTGTCTGCCTGTGGTTGCCAGTCTGTGGTTACCTGTTTGCAGTTACCTGTCTGTGGTTACCAGTCTGTGGTTACCTGTCTGCAGTTACCAGTCTGTGGTTACCAGTCTGTGGTTAACTGTCTGCCTGTGGTTGCCAGTCTGTGGTTACCTGTTTGCAGTTACCTGTCTGTGGTTACCAGTCTGTGGTTACCTGTTTGCAGTTACCTGTCTGTGGTTACCAGTCTGTGGTTAACTGTCTGCCTGTGGTTGCCAGTCTGTGGTTACCTGTTTGCAGTTACCTGTCTGTGGTTACCAGTCTGTGGTTACCTGTCTGCAGTTACCAGTCTGTGGTTACCAGTCTGTCTGTGGTTACCTGTCTGTGGTTACCAGTCTGTGGTTACCTGTCTGCAGTTACCTGTCTGTGGTTACCAGTCTGTGGTTAACTGTCTGCCTGTGGTTGCCAGTCTGTGGTTACCTGTTTGCAGTTACCTGTCTGTGGTTACCAGTCTGTGGTTACCTGTCTGCAGTTACCAGTCTGTGGTTACCAGTCTGTCTGTGGTTACCTGTCTGTGGTTACCAGTCTGTGGTTACCTGTCTGCAGTTACCAGTCTGTGGTTACCAGTCTGTGGTTAACTGTCTGCCTGTGGTTGCCAGTCTGTGGTTACCTGTTTGCAGTTACCTGTCTGTGGTTACCAGTCTATGGTTACCTGTTTGCAGTTACCTGTCTGTGGTTACCAGTCTGTGGTTAACTGTCTGCCTGTGGTTGCCAGTCTGTGGTTACCTGTTTGCAGTTACCTGTCTGTGGTTACCAGTCTGTGGTTACCTGTCTGCAGTTACCAGTCTGTGGTTACCAGTCTGTCTGTGGTTACCTGTCTGTGGTTACCAGTCTGTGGTTACCTGTCTGCAGTTACCTGTCTGTGGTTACCAGTCTGTGGTTAACTGTCTGCCTGTGGTTGCCAGTCTGTGGTTACCTGTTTGCAGTTACCTGTCTGTGGTTACCAGTCTGTGGTTACCTGTCTGCAGTTACCAGTCTGTGGTTACCAGTCTGTCTGTGGTTACCAGTCTGTGGTTACCTGTCTGCAGTTACCTGTCTGTCTTTGGTTACCAGTCTGAGGTTACCAGTCTGTCTGTAGTTCCCTGTCTGTGTTTACCAGTCTATCTGTGGCTGCCTGTGTGAGGGTTTTTTTTTTATTTTTTTTTTATTTTTTACAATTAACCATGTAATTGGCACTACAAATAAATTAAAACTATAAGCAGAATACTGAAAATATTTGTGTGGATGCGCTAAAGAGGCCATATTTGTGTGACTGCTGGTAGAGGGTTTCTGCCTGAAACGTCATTCAAAATCAAAACTATTTACAGATTAAATATATCATACACATATCATCTTATACAAAGATACAAGGAGAGGAGTAGATTATTTTCTTTATTTAAACAAAAAATATATAAAATATATATATAATATAATAAAAATGTATGCCTTATTTAAACTATATAAATATATTGCTTTTAAAATTAATCAGGCCATTGGCACTACAATTAAATAAAACAACAAGCAGATACAGAAAGGATTTCAATTCAATGTTAATGTTATAACTAAAGAGGCCATATTTGTCTGACTGCTGAATGTAGAATTTAAAACTTCCTTTATGAACAAATCCATGCCTTCATTGAACTATAAAAATCAGTCTCCTTCTTCCATGGGCTCATCTTCATCATCTGCAAAGTACTGGAGAAAAAAAAGTAAATAAAAACTGCATATAAGGATGTGAATTTAATTGATTTTTAGTGTAGACTATACATTACGTTGTCATCTTCCTCAGGTAATTCAGGAGGAGGAGGATGAGGAGGAGGCACAGGCAGGTGGTGTTCCTCAACAGAGGTGACCCAGAGGTCACTTTCCTGCAAAATGGCACAATACAACAGTTGTTAAACCTGACTGATGCATCACAATTCACAAATATACAATAAACAATACACTGAGATTCCCCCAACTCCAAAATTCCAGCCAGTGATATAGCATTCACTGCCCTGTTTGACGTAATTCCACACTGATATTTCAATGCACACTATTCATTGAAATAGCAGTATGGAATTATTTAAACAACAATGCTGAGAGCTATATAATTAGGTTGAATGACAATTTTGTAACATATGAAATCCTGGCGTGGTTGCTGTGCTGAAACTGTAAAGGAAAAGTGTAAAAGCTACTTTCATCTCATCCTATTAGGCACAAAGTATTTAAATTAAAATACTCAGAGTGCACTATGGGAAATATCAAAAAGACTTATTTGGCAACACAGTTGTCCACATTATTTAGTCACAAGAGAGCCCAATATTTCATGGAAAAATATCCAATGACATGTCAATAATTTATGCATGGTGTAAACATACAGATTTACAAATTTACGGTGCCATCTTCCACTCCACTTTTGTCAGCCATTATCTGAAAAAGATGCTCTGTTAAGTACAACTTGTAGAAAGGAAAGGCAAATACATAGCATGCCAAGCTGCGGTTCAAAGATTCAAATCTTTTTTTACAATAGTACAGTCTAATTTGTGTGATGCCACGCCCGTTTCTTGC